TCTGTTACTGTAACCTTACAATAAAGGTAGTGTTAGTACTCATGGTTGGTGCTTCTTGTCTGGACTACCTTGAAGGGCTGATAGTAAGTGAGCTTGCAGCATTGCTGAGTCTAAAATGCTGACAACCTCAAGGAGTTAGTCACCCTTCTGACTAGGTGTGGTCAGGAGGGAGAAGGAAGTATATGCATTAAGATGGAAAGGCTCTGTGACCCAGGTCTCTTGTAGAAACACTCTCAAAGTGTTTAAAATAGTCTACAAATACTGGATTGGACTGTTTAGAACACCATCCTGCGTTGTTCCAGAACAAAAATCATATGGCAGAAGTAGAGGAATAAGTCGTTCAGGAGTGAAAGTACATGTGACAGAAGATAAGGCATTCATAGGCATGGACTCTGGAAGTTCAGGTAGAATTTGAGCTGACAGGGAGTGAGAGCTTCTATGATAATTTTTCTCTGAAGGTTTATATGAAAATTTAGAGCAGGGCCTCTCGTGGAGATAAATACTATACTGCAGAGAGATTAAAAAAGGTCCAGATAATCTGCTTCCATTATGGCGCTCTATAGTTGCCTCCACACCATTGCCTCCACAACCTTTTCTAGAAAGGGGATGTTAGAGATAGGGCAATTGTCAGTTAATCAATTTGGCTTCAAAACAGGTAGCTCACAATGTAAAAATAAAATAAAATACATAAGAAATACAAGGGTAATAAGAGAATGGCAATCCAGACACTAACATCAGCACAGATACAAAGAAACTTTTAACAAGGGGTGGTTCCTCAAATAACTGGGCCCCTAACAGCTGGACCAGGGGAAGGCCTCTTAAGGAGGAGATGCACTGCAACTTTTTTTCAAGGCCACAGGAAGCCTTCTCTCCCAAAGTGAGCCATTGACCACCTTCCAGGTTTTGCCAATCATGTCCCTTCCTATCCTGCATAAGAGATAAGACTGGCATGGAACTAATGATTCACCAGTATGGATTGAAAGATCAGGACTTTGGCGAATCTGAGGAACTTTATCAACAAAATGCTGTTCAAAGCAGCCACAATTGCCAAGGGGAGATTTGCCGGTGACTCCCTTCCCAGTAGGGAGTTCATCACCTCAGCATGCCGAAACAATAAGGGACAAGAAATACAGGTCATGTGAATGCTTTTGACGTTTTCAGTTAGCTATCCCGTAGAATCAAGTATGTCATATTCTCCATTGTAGCTTGGCAAAAATTACAGGAATTTTCTTGTTGATGATGGTTATTAGAATGAGATTTTTTTTAAATTCTCTCCCCTACTTTTTATATATTATTTATTTTAGTTTTTGGTGGCTTTTCCTCTTGTTTTGATACCTCTGAGTAACCTAAAATGCATAGGAGACCTTGAGAGAAGATACTGTCTTTTAGCACGTTTTAGCTTTGGAAAACTTGGCTTTTTGTGATAACATCCCATAATGTTCTATTCAGTACATCCTTAGCAGATGGGAGTCATTCTGAACAGCCCAGCAGAGACAATTCATGTTTCCCCTTCCATTTTTAAAAGGCAGATGTCCTTTCCAGAAGTTTTCTGATTGTAATCCTTAAATCAGAGAGAAATACTGGCTGCCCTGTTTTTTCCCCTCTTGAATCTAGAGTATCGTTAATACAGCGCTAGAAAGTTGGCTAGAACAACGCTGCCTGCTATCAATCAAACGGCTTAGAGGAATGTTGGAAAAGAATGTTAAATGTGATCCTGCTGTGATCACTAAAAAGATCTCTGTCAGAATGTTTCTGTGCCAGGTATTATGCAGACATTGCTCCCGTATTCCTGCAATGTTCCTGCCTTTTATCTTGTTTTGCACAATTCAGCCATATCTTGTCCCTTTAACCACCTTACTCGTTCATATAACTCAGTTGGATTCAGCCTGAGGAAAAAATTTAATTAACTATGCTTAAAGAATAAAGGGGTCAAAAGGGGATGTTGGAAGGACATATTGGCATTGTCAGTTTTGCATCTGTCTTAACTGGGCGTTTTCTATGTGTGCTGGGAAGACGAGGCTGCTGGTTAAATGTTTGAACATTATTTTCTACCTCATTGGCAACTCCTTCTCAACAGTGTTTTCTCTCACATGTACAAACATACATACGCATATTCAACAGATTTGGGTAGTGTATTTTAGCTTTAATCTCTTATGGTTGCTTCTCTGGCAAATAAAAGTGGAGATCACTGGGAAATGGTTTCTGGAGAACAGGGTTTTGAAGGATCACCCATGAGTTGCCTCAGTTCTTTGTTGTGTAATTTGTAGCAAACATATATATATATTGCATATAGCCAGTGATGGTGATCATAATTTAGTGTCTGTTCATGGCAACAGAAGAAGTGAATTAATTTGGTCAAGGACATTGCCCACCCTAATATAGCTGACCAGTTCTTTCAATTATCTTACAGAAGGTAAACGCTACATTCTTTTAAGTATTACAGTATTTGCCAGTGCATATGAATTGTATGTCAGAATAGAGCTCTTTATCTTTACCTTTAAGCTTAATTGTTTCCCGTGCTATCTTTTCATTGTAAGGAAAACCAATTTCATACATTTTCAAATTGTGTGTTTAATTTTCTAGAAACAGGATTGGCCATTGCACAAATTGGAGTGTTCTGCCATGTGCGTGTTTGGACAGAACTGGAATCCCTCTGAGACAGTCAGACTCACAGCAAGAATTCTTGCCAAACAGGTGAGCTGATCTGAAATCTTTGTTTTGCCTTTCTTTGTTTATTGAGATGCATAAGAAAGAAGAAAATAAGTCTGTCAATAACAGGTCTCTGTAAAATGTATTTCCTGACTTCTTGCCTATAACTATTGATAGTTTTTTGCTGAACCTCTGAACAGTACATTACCTAAGAATGTTTTAAAATGTTGCATATTGAAGTAATCTCTGCCTTTCCTATCTACCAAGCTGCCTCCTGTCTCCCCCCCCCCCCCC